CTCCCAAAGTGCTGGGATTACAGGCATGAGCCACTGTGCCTGGCCTCCTTTTTTTTTTTTTTTTTTTTCATGTAGGTGTTTATTGCTATCAACTCCCCTCTTAGGAGAGCTTTTGCTGTACCCCACACGTTTTGGTACATTGTTTTTCTATTTTCATTTGTTTCAAATTTTTGTTTATTTTCTTCTTAATTTCTTCATTGACGCAGTGGCCATTCAGGAGCATGTTGTTTAATTTGCACATATTTGTAGAGTTTCCAAAGTTACTCTTGATGTTGATTTTTAGTTTTATTTAATTGGAGTCTGATAAAACATTTGATATAATTTTAATTTTTAAAAATTTGTTTAGACTTGTTTTGTGTCATAACATATAGTCTATCCTGGAGAACATTCCATGTACTCATGAAGACAATGTGTATTCTGCTGTTGTTTTATAAAATTCCTTTAATATTTTATACAATCACAGAACAGAGTTAAGGGAAACCTGAGAGATCATCTTGCCCTAACCCACATTTTGCACAAAAGGAAACTGTTATCAAGAAAACTATGTGATATGCCTTTAAAAAGCAGTGTTTCCTGTAGAACTCAGGTCTTTAATCTGCTCCTTGTTTCACTACAGTAGCAGTTCTCAAAGTATGGTTCAGGGACCCCTCGGGATTCCAAGAACCTTTGAGGAGACTGTGAGGTCAAAATTATTTTCACAATAATGGTAAGACCCTGTTTACCTTTTCACTCTCATTCTAGCTTTGGTGTATAGTGACGTTTTCCAGAGGTTGCATGACATGGGCTGTATCAAAAGAATGAATGCAGGTCGGGATGGGCGGCTCATGCCTGTCATCCCAGCACTTTGGGAGGCCGAGGCAGGTATATTACCTGAGGTCAGGAGTTCCAGACCAGCCTGGCCGACATAGCAAAATCCCGTCTCTACTAAAAATACTAAAAATTGTTCAGGCATGGTGGCGGGTGCCTGTAATCCCAGCTATCTGGGAGGCTGAGGCAGAATTGCTTGAACCCAGGAGGCGGATGTTGCAGTGAGCCCAGATCGCATCACTGCACTCCAGTCTGGGTGACAGAGCAGACTCTGTTTCAAAAAAAAAAAAAGAATGCAAAAGCAGATATGAGATTCCAGTGGTTTTCCTCTTAAGCTAGACATTAGAGAAATTTGCAAAAATAAGAAATAGCATCAATTTTCTATAAAAAATGCAATTTATGTTCATATGTACAATGCCCATTATTATTATCATTATTATTTTTCAGACGGAGTCTTGCTCTGTCGCCTAGGCTGGAGTGCAGTGGCGCTATCTCAGTTCACTGCAAGCTCCCATTCCTGGGTTCATGCCATTCTCCTGCCTCAGCCTTCTGAGTAGCTGGGACTACAGGTGCCCGCCACCACGCCCGGCTAATTTTTTTATATTTTTGGTAGAGATGGGGTTTCACCATGTTAGCCAGGATGGTCTCCATCTCCCGACCTTGTGATCCGCCTGCCTTGACCTCCCAAAGTGCTGGGATTACAGGTGTGAGCCACCGTGCCTGGCCTATTGTTATATTTTTAAATATGGTAATATTGAGTAACATAACCTGTGTATGTGTGTGTGTATGTAAGTGTGTGTGTATATATGTACATATGTGTGTGTGTGTGTGAGTATATATATATATGAGGTTTTGGTGCTCTCAAGAATTCGTAGGTATTATCCCAATAAATAGAATGATGTCATTAAAAGAAGGAAACAAGGACAACAACAGCTACAAATTTTTAAAAATTAATAGTGTTATAAAAATGTCTTCTGTGAATAGACAGTGGAGACTCAAAAGGGGGGAGTGGGGTCAGTGATGAGAAATTACTTAATATGTACAATGTATACTATTCCAGTGATGGCTACACTAAAAGCCCAGACTTCACCACTATGCACTATATTCATGTAACAAAACTGCACTTGGACTCCATAAATCTTACAAATAAAAAGAAATGTATTCTGTGGCACTCTCCTTCTTCTAAAAATAGCTTGGGCTGTTTTGGAATAATTTTTAACTTATTATATGTGATTGCAAGCTCCTTATGCGCCTTGGAATTCAGAATTTCATGCTTTCACTTTCACAACTAACTTCATTTAACTTTATGAAGCTTGTGCTAAATATATAAATGCTTAAGGATATGTGGAAATCATTGAAAATGCTAAATTAAAATGATTTTAAACTAGTTTTAAATTGTGTCATCTTTACAAAAAAATTTTTTTCAGAGAGTTATGCTGTTTTCTACTCGTTGTTTACTTAGGTTTATCGACGGGGCAGATGAGAGGAGAAATTCCCCTTCTAAAACAAATGAAAAGGACACACAAAAATATTCTTCAGTTTCCCTGCCAATGTGGGTTTCTGCTCAGCCCTGATTTCACTGATTTTTTACCTGTCCTCACTCCAGTTTTTTTTTTAGTGATCGGTTTTAAATCTTAATTCTGTAAATAGATCTACCATTTTCTTAGAAAATGAGCTATTTCTGGGCAGAACTGAAAAGAGGTGGGGACTGGATTCATGAAAGGAACTTTTGGGGGCCTTTGTGAACAGGAGTTCTAGAACCACTAGGGAAGCTGAAATATTACTCCTCATAATTTTTGTATGACGTTCTTTTCAATAAAGGGTGTCAATGTAGCCTTCCAGTTATGTATGTCATAATTAGATGCATATAAAGGAGGAACAAACCCATGCAGTTTCTAGAACAACAAATTAGGGGAAAGATAGAGTGGAAGTATCCTTCTGTCATGGTTCTTACATTCTTATGCTGACCTGAAACCACATTTTTGTGATTGATGAAGGTCATAAGAAAGACTATTTCCTTCACTGAACTTATCTATTATTCTCACAAGTCAGTTATTCTCTTGGTCTCATTGGGCATGTTTTCACCCAATTTCCTTATCAGTTAGTGCTGGGAAGACAAGAACTTTGTATTTTATACACTGTACTGTAACATATAATATACATAAATATGAAACAAAAACAAATTCATTGTGATTTCATTTTCTCCCACAATGAAAGAATAGATTTAATCCTTTACCTAATTTGCATCCTTTGCTCTTCCAATCCTGTTCAATAATTCATCAGAAGGCAGTAACTTAGTGGTAAACAACATATTGTTTCCCCTTGTTGGTACTTAGTAAGCTTTAGCTTCTGCAATCTGTTCTCGTGAAATGAATCCCATAATTCCTTTAATCATTTTAGTTACTCTTCTCTGGATCCATTCAATTAGATTACAACTTTTTGGCAAGATAAGTACTTGAGTTGAACAGTCTTTCCATATGTTGTCTCAGAAGAGTGGTAAGGGAAAGGCTTGTATCATTTACATTCATGGCTCAATGGCTACATTCTTTTTGACAAAGATAGCTTTCTGGATATAGTATGTATTGAACAAGTGCTTGTGAATGAAAATGTTTAATATAGACTTATTGACCATTTATTGTTTTTCTAATCTATTTGTTAAGCCCTTTACTGACATTTGGTTTCTTCTTTGGAAAAACAGATTTTAAATATTGGTAATACTTTAAAAATATGTATCATGCTAATATCATAAATTAGGTTATATACCATATGTCCAACCAAGCTTTAGAACACTTTTTACAAAAATGGGCAAATCAAGGGTTCTGGAAAGGATATTATAAAAAACTCATGGATACACATTGAGAAGAAGAGATTGTCCAAATAAGGTAAGGAAAAGAAGATAAAATGAATCAAATTGCATATTCAATAACAATAAAATTCCTAGGAGAAAATTTGGGTAAGTAATACTATGAAGAAATGATTTTTTTTAACATGTCCCAATACGTAACTGAATATGTAAACCAGCTTAGAGTTCTTTTCTTTGATATAGGAAAGGGAACATTTCATAAACAAAAAAGAAATTTTTCACAAAACATTTTTTTCCATACCTCAATGGCACCTGTTTTGCACGGAGACAAGCACATGCAGGAAAAAGTTGTAAAAGTGGAAGTAAACATGGTTTCAGAAGAGGATTCAGAAAATCTTAGGTAAGACTCTGGTATAAGACATTGTGGGAATTAAACATCCTACTAGAGATCTGGGGGAAAGCACCAAAAGCAAGTCAAATACTAGAATAGGAGATAGAATCCCTTTTCTTGGAGAGGTTCAAGAATCCAAAACAGCCATATTCAGGATGCAGTTTCAGGTATCAGCATCAGAACTAGGTCCAAATCCAAGATCTGGTGGTAGATCAGGCTACACAGAGCAGAAGCTTTAGAGTCAGTCTTGGAACCAGTACCAACGGAATGGAAATAGGAATAGTTAATTACTGTCTTTAGGAAATGGGGCTTTTGAAATGGGCCAAGAGAGTCAGGCAGGATTGACTGGTTATAGTATTGGCTTGGCCTTCCTCAGGCCCAGAAGACCTGGACAGAAGTGATTAGCCATGGAGACTATACACTTCCACGTGGAAAATACTTAGAGAGAATTTGGTTTGGTTCAGAAGAACTCCATATTCTCCTTTATCAACTATACTTGAAGTTGAGTTGATGGCAGCAGAAGTGTGATTTCAAACTCCCTTTACTAGTGAAGAGAAAGCATTCCCTATTTCCTCTACTGAGTTAGGATTGTTTATGGGACCCTATGGGGCAGCCTGTGTATTATTCCATATTCATTATGGACAGTGGGGATGGTCTGGGATTTGTCTTAGACTGACATTGGAGAATTGAAAAGGCTAAGGAAAGATATTTCAGTTTTATAATGAAGGTCCAAAATTAATCTGGAGGCCAGAGGGACCCAGAAAATAAAATAAAAATGAGAATTACTAATGAGTGGATCTTTGCCATTGGTAAAAATCTGGGTCACTTATAGCTGTATTTTTCCATCTGTGCTTTTGTCTGTGGGCTTTGATAGCATAGTTGTCTAATAAGTGTTTCAGCATCTGAATCTGACAATAGATATCATTCCAGAATACAATTGTTATGTAACAAAGATTCTGTATTCTGGAGAAAAAAGTCAATCAACACAATTTTAAGCTTTCTATGTCTTTTGTTTGCAGGGATTCAGGCATAAACAAGCATTTGTCATTCGATTCTTCTAGTGCATTTCTAGCATAGTGTGCCTTAGGCATGACACATCAGGGTCTGATGTTTATCTTTTATTACCTGCCAGACCTCTCTGGAAAAGCCTCCATGGAATTCATCATCTGCAGTCTTTGTTGTAGGTACATATATAAATACATGTTGAACGCATTCGTTGAGGATATTGTGGTTTCTAAAGCTGAACTTAAATAAAAAGTATTGAGATGAATAATGAAGAGGACTTTCTGCAGAAGGTATGAAGCTAATCATTAAAATGTTTTTAACTAAAATATTGACAGCAAATCTTTTAAAAAATGTGAAGTATTTGAGTGCCAGTAAGAATAAGTGTAGCATAATTGTACTTATTATATGTCCACTTTGGAGAAGTTAATGAAGAATTGCCCTTCTCTACTACACAGTAAGTTTATAAAGATAATGAAAACTAAACAGTTCAAAATATTAATCTAGGAAAGCTCATTTGGTTTGAATAGTCATTTAGATTCAATAGGCACCAAGTTTCAGAAGAATACGTATGCTATAAAAAATTTTATTTCTATTTTGGTTGTTATTGAGAGAATAATGTTTTGTTTTTCTCAAAGCTTTGGCCTCATTCTAACAAATATGCTTTGAGATTAAATGACTAAAGGTGGAAACCTGTTTTCAAATTATATTTGAAATGCACAGCATGAATAGTGATAGCCACTCATTGGGTCTAGCATATATTAAAATAATCAGTTGTCAGCATATAGCATTTCTCCTCACTTCTTAATGTGTGTGTACCCAACCTTTACTCTTGTATTTCTGACCGACCATTTTGAAAGACTGAAGTACAGACTTGGAGGCAAGTTTTGGTAAAATTTGGGAGGATGTGGGTTATCTTTATTAAATTAAGAAAATATATTGCAAGAAGCATACCTACTATGTGAAGAGTGCAGTGAAAACCAGTGCATTATGTATGAAATAGTGGCATATAGAGAACAAACCTGGTCCCCACTTATGCATGGAGTGTAGAAGATCGCTAACATCTAAGAATGGGTTCACTGATCTGTATAGTGAATACAAGCAGTTGTTTTGAAAGAGACAAGAACAAATGCACTTTCCATAAGGAAACTGGGCAAGGCTGTGTGAAGAAGGGACTGCCTGAGGCGGAGGTGTGGCTTATCCTGTACTGTCATGTCACTGTTGTAGGCAACAAATGGTGGTTTGTGTGATTATAAAGAATTTAGCTAAAAGTAAATTCATAGCTGCCAATGAAGGCTTATAGAAAGAAAGTAAGGGTGATTAGCATGTACATTATTAGCTTTTGGGGTTTTCGATTTCTAACTATGTAACTTCTTGGACTAGGTTTTACTTACTACTTCTGAACCCACAGCAAGAACTCTGCTTTCTTCCTCAGCTCCCACAATTTTAGCCCAGGATTCCAGGTGATGCAGCTCCTACGAAAGCCCTTAAAAGCCATGCCCTCCTCAAGACCAGTCTAGACCAAATGTTGATTGTTTACTCTTAGGAGGGCAGAAAAATGAACAACATGATTTTTAAACTGCACAATTCTCACAGCAAGATACATTTTCTGTCTTTTGAGGAAAGTTCCTTTGGAGTTGGAATAGAGCATTGTATTTACTAGATGTTATAACGGTGAATGTTGACTGTCCACTTGACCCAACTCCACTGAGTAAGCTCTTTTATACTCTCCTGTATAGGGTCACAATCTCAGGAAGTGAAAGAATATGGAAGGAGGCAGGGAGATGACATGTGACATTCCTTTTCCAGCTAACTGATGTCTGGTAAAGGAGAAGATTGTGTTTCATACTAGATGCTCTGGGAACGTGAGCAAGAGCAGCATGAAGTAAACTACAAAACACAGCACCTGAACAAAAGCTCAATGGATTCCGAAAGGCAGATAGTGTGTATGGAGAAAATCTCTCAGAATAATTACTTCCCCAACCTGAACAAATTCTTTGTTAGAATCTTCAGTAAAATGAACAGTTATTAATCTTAGATTTGGTATTTCCCTAAAGAATATTTTACTGAGATTCTCTATTTAAAACAATGATGTAAAGTCATGCATTCAGCCACATTCTTAGCAGTGGCAAACAAAAAATTGATTGAAAACACATTCTTATTTCTTATAGTAGACCCTATGGGGTGTATGAAGTTGAGAAGTTGAGTGAAAGAGTAGCATATCATAACAATTAAAATCTGTTTATCAAGAACCTTGTGTGTGGTTCTGAGCTGGGTAATATGTCAAGTGAGTAAGATCTGTTCTCCGCCCTTCAGATATTTATAACTCAATACAGAGAACACTGACACAGGTAGACACAGTTCTGACGTTTCCATATCACAGAAGGAATGAATGTCATCTGGGGTGAAGTCAGAGATCCATCCAGCTCTGCAGCCTGTATCTGTTGGGGGCATGAAGTGCAGCCCCATGGGAGGCTCTGCCTGACCTTCTAGAGGCTTGCTTCAAGAGGCTAGAGGTTTACCTACCCCAACTCTCCCTGCTTTATGCTGTTGTCTGTGTGACTCTAGAGAACACCTGATTCTTGTTTTATATTTTCCATTTGTTTTGTCTTTTAGAATTCAGAAGATTTGTCTTCTGAAGATTTCAAGGTTTATAGTTCATTTTATAATTATTTACCTCAAACCTGCCTACTTCCAGTGTATCAACTAGCTCTCCATTTAAGAAATCTCAATGGAGAGACAAGACAAAAATTAGATGAGAGTTTCAAGAGCAGTGGGTTAAGCTCGCACTTCCTGAAATCAGAATGCCTGCATTTTAATCTCGGCTTTGCTACTTACTAGCTGTGTGATGTGGGGCAAATTATTGGACTTCTCTGTACCTCACTGGGACATTAATAGTGTCCACAGGAAGAGATTTTGTGGAGATTAAATAAGTTAACACATGCAAAATGCTTAGAACTGTGCTTACAATATAGTGAGAACTCATTAAAAAGGAGTCATTCATTACATATACTTTATTTTGTTATGTTGACCTCTAATAGCTCTCCTGTTTTCATTTTTACAGACTTAAAGAGTTTTACGCTTTCCTTTACATGATGGAATGTATTTGCTTATGATAGTAATGATAACAATTATATATAATGTACCTTTTTACATAAACATATATCCATCCACTTCTAGCCTATAAGGGCTTTCCTAAGGCACAATGACTAGAACTATTTTTAACAATCTAGTTACAGGCATATTATAATTTTTTAAAAGGATAGAACACCTTCCCCTCTCATATTTAAAGTATTTTTATATTCATATTTACAGTATTTTTATATGCTGCAGCAGCCCATTAGCTGATATCTTCACTAACAGTTCCATAACGTTCTTGGATCTTTTTCATACTGTATTACAGAGCCCATTATCTTAAATATATATTATATATACATGAATATCTAAATTTTTTCCACGTCTTTTTACCTTTGAAACATTTTTGTTGCTTTTCTGCTCACCCACAAAGTCTTCACAAATTATTTTTGTCCATCTGCATGGATAAATATATTTTTAGCCATACAATCTTAATTTCTCTAAAAAATATGGAGAATTTTTTGATATACTTATGAACATACTAAATAAAACAAAACTTTTTGCTTCCTTTATTATTTTAGTTTTCTTTATTATTTAGCTTCATATTATCAAAATCACATGGTGTTAGACCTTTGTAAAAATTATGTTTTTCCTTCTCTGAAAATGTTTGGTTAGGTATATTTTTCTTGTGTAGAACTTCTATTGTAGATTTTGCATAACTTGCCCATAGAGGTGAGATTTGTTTATGGGTTGATGCCACTGTTGACTATTTGCCAATTTGTTGGGAATAAAAACGAGACTCATAGCGTTTCATATGGAAGCAGCTATATCATTTACATTCTGATACTTCTTTCACACAGAGCTCTCAATAATGATTGTTGCTCTATCATTCTTGGTCACATGTCAATGTTCCACCTAATCCACCAGCTTAGATCTAGGTTATTATCTTGTAATAATAATGAGAATTAAAAAGTCAGAAAGTGAAAATTTGATGGTAAGAGTGGAAATTAACCAGGTTGACCCTGACATTTGGCTATCTAATCTCCCCACAAATGTGCTTGGAGATGAGAAACTCAACACTTTGACAAATAACCCATTCCATTTTGGGCCCATTATATTAAGTAAAATTCTGATTCCTTGCAAATTCCAAGAAATTTATCTGGATTTTCCTTCTGTGCTTTGTTTTACTTCAAAAGATAGAGATACTATTGAACTCTCACTCGAAGTGTGGAGTTTTTTTTTTTTTTTAGACTTGGATTTCCTTAGTTTTCAGTATTTTGTCACATATAAAGTTTTTAAGCAGCATGAAAAAATGAAATAAGAGTTGCAAACCACACATATTTTAATTCTGCTATGTTTTAGGTATGAAGCCAGGCAAGTTGCTGTATTTATCAGATCCTCAGCTGCCTCACTGAAATATATATACATATATATATATTTATATAAATATATGTATATATGTGTCTATATAGATATATAGAGAGTGAAGGCATGCATACACACACACACACACACACACACACACACACACACACCAGAGACAGAGAAAGAGAGAGAGAGAACGTTTTAGCTATTTCAGAAAAGCATGAGAAATAATGTTTTCTCAGTATCTTAAGTGGGGTAATCATAACCCTAGGGAAAACGGCTGATATTGAGGATAACTACAGTGAAAAAACCCTAAAGAAAAGGTAAAATTTATAGAGTAAAGCTACAGAGGCATTGTAGAGCAGACTTTCACCAGCACAAGCCCATCTAAGTGAAGAAGCACAGGTCTAAGCCTTTCTAGAGAAAACTTTGAAGAATGCCATGCCATATTTTATCTAGGAAAGCTGTTTTGACTGAATCATCCTACTGGGTTACCATCAGGTCTTGTTGACATCCAAAGAAGTCTCATTCAGAATCTTTTATAAAGGAGATGTCTGAGTCAAATGTCCTTTCTGGCCTTATACTTCAACATGGTAGGTCTTGTTTGTAATTAATTAATTAGAAATTATTTACTCAATTACTACTTTATGCTAGGCAATATATTAGGCACAAGGATACATCTAAATGCCACCTTCTAAGAATCTTCAGTCTTTGACATGTTCTTCTTGTCAGCCTTTCCTGACTTTACTTCCTATCCCATCTGTCTTGGATTCCATATCCTATTATTTATTTATTTTTTTTTTCCCCTTTTGTGGAGAACAGGGTCTCGCTGTATTACCCAGGCAGGTCTCGA